GCAGTTCACCTGATGACTGTTTGTTCCAGCTGTGTCCAGTGAGAGTCAGGTGACAGTAATGAAGACGCTGGTAGAGTCACTGCCGGAGGAAAACTACGCATCGCTGCGATACCTCATCACATTTCTGGCACAGGTACAGCTGATGGTCTGCACATCCCGCTGATCCCAAAATACCATCTCTGTCTGTTACAACAGCATCCTGTGTGTGTGTGTTTAGGTATCGGCCAACAGTGAGGTGAATAAGATGACCAACAGTAACCTGGCTGTGGTCTTTGGTCCCAATCTGCTCTGGGGGCGGGACAACGCCATGTCGCTCAGCGCCATTGGACCAATCAATAACTTCACGAGAACCCTGCTGGACCAGCAGCATCTGGTGTTTGCTTAATGTCCAGCCCTCTGCTCTGAGCTCTTTCTGCCAATGTGAAATGCCGCCGAGACCCTCCTTCCCTGCAGCATTTAGCCTTTAGCTTACCTTAGGAGCATCATCAAAGTACTCAGACAGGCCTGACTGTCTCTTACATGCCGCGCACATTTAAAAAGATTCAGTGGACCAAGTTATTTGTGTGTCTCCGGTCGTTCTGAGCGTCCTGTTATTATGTCTGGCAACTTCTGGCATTTCTATTTGACTCCAAGCATGAAAACAAGTGGAAACAGCACACGTGTTAGAGCTCAGGCAAATAAAAATAATGTGAGCAAAAAATAACAGAAAACACTACAAAATGCAACCGATGGTAAACAAGAAAGATCCAGATCCCCAGTTTTGTTACAGCGTTAAATTAGAGGCTGTTCACGTATCACAGCATGAAACGCTGCGGCCCTGCGTGAGTGGTGCTCCACTGTGAGCCGTGATAACTCGACATCACTTTGCATCATGAAATCCCACAAACACGTCACGAGTACAGATACAGACGTGCACGCTTCCCTTCCTTTAAGTCAGTGTAGTGCTTCCAGCAGTCTCCACGAGCACAACATGAACCTGAACGATGACGTGAAGTCGTTTCATGCGGGTCTCAGGCCGGCACACTATAAAGAGCTGCAACACTGGGGGAGGGGGACATAAATCTGAAATCACTACATGTGTGTGAATGCAGGGCTAGTCATTTGCTGCCATGTGCTTCTCTACCACCCCGAACTGCTCCGTCCATGCCTCCGTCACTCCTACCTGCACGCGTTCATATCTATATTCAGCCCTGCATCGCTGCCCTGCTTCAACAGCGGCTGGTTTGCATCTTTTATCTCTGTCAGTAGCAGCTGGTCGTGTTGTTTTCTATGTAGTGCCAAAAAGGCGTTTCACCTGTGTTACCAAATGTTCTTTAGATTCTGATTCTGCGCTAAAGAGAGGGCTGATGAGGAGAGTGGAGGCGTGACTCAGGGTAACGTCAGAATGGTGAACTCGGTACCGAACTTTGTGGACAATCTATGAAATGCTGTACTTGGAGTGGCAGAAACCAGCCACAGCTGTGCACGTGGAGTCTTTCTCTTCCTTTATATGACTTTAATTTTACTAATAGCAGTGTCATTTGGACCTGTAGCTGGTGTCCCGGGTAAACGGCACACTACAAAAGTGTGCTGAGTGACGGCTTCACACTCGGCACTCTGCGGGTTTGGTGACAAAGTGTAGATGTGACTGCGCTCCCTGGAGTGACGCCGTTGTTGTTTAAATTACAGGGAGACGGTCGGTACGTCGGGCATGTGGTGGACTCCCACAGGCCAGCGTCTCTGCTGCCCTCTGTGCGACTGATTGTGCGAGCAGACGTGATGTGTGCTCATACAATCAGTAATAATATAAGTAGTAATGGATTCATGTTTTGTGTACATAATGAATGATTTTGGGTGTCTGATTTCCTGTGATTGTCCCAAATTTAATTAAGTAGAAGTACCTGATACTGAGGCTTACTCTGTGTACCGTTTCAGGCTTTGAACTACAGGAGTCTGTCCAAGTTATGTGCTGGTTTTTGGCTCGGTGTTTGTGGCGCAGTGCTGTGGTGTGCTGCACATAATCCACACTGAGCAGTGCAGTTAACAGACCCCACACGCCTCAGAGGGCACCGGGGCTCCAGGCCAGCTGTTCGTCCATTTGTTTGTTGAGTATTAATGTAGGATATAGACGCATTAGATCAGAGCTGTCTAGGATGAAACACACCCTTTGGCCAATCACAAGCCAGTATTCCTTTTAGCTATTGTGTTTTCTTTAGGAGCAGGCGTATGAGGAGCATGCAGCAGGAGTGTAACCCGTCAGAATCGGCTTTTACTCTCTCCTCTGTAGTGAGAGAGGAAAGTGTGAACCCTTTGAAATGATTTAGTTCTTCCTAAACCCAAAGATGAATCCGTCCCTTATAGAGTGCAGCCAACACGAGCGGTGGCTGATCGGTGTGATTGTTTGAGCAGCTCACAGCCTCCTGTTAGGTGAGCAGCAGCCCCCGTCCTCGGCTTTTTGAGCGCAGGCACTGGATGCACACAGGTGACTGTGGGCTCTCGCAGAGGTTCCCGGGTGCAACTGTATGGCCTCCCAAAGGCTGCATTGTGTTCTCATTTATCTCACGGTTCAGCAGTGATGCACAGACGCTGTGGGGAGTTGGTTGGGATGTCTTTGCTGTTGAGGGTTTCACTGTTATCGCTGCTTTCACAGCCTCCAGCACAGCTACAACTTTCCTTAATGAGGGTTTTAATTTCTGTGGCTAAATGAGAACTGTGTGGCCGTAACAGAGGCCTTAAGCTTCCTGCTGCATTTTTCATTGCTCATGTTCTTTCCTGTAATAATCACCTGTGATTCCTGAGAAGAACATTATTTCTGCAAGTCTCAGTTTTCGTCCTCAGTCTGTTTCCAGAGTCTTGGTGTAAAGGACAGCCTCACAGTGATTACAGCACCTGCAGTAGTTACCTTTGACACGTTGTCTCTTTCCTTTAGTCAGCCAGTTTCTAAAGACTCAAAACAAGCTGTTCAACTAGATGTCTTTCATTGCAACAAACTATCAGTGGGTAAATATTGGTGTTGTGGTGTTCCTGTAACGATGTGACTGAAAAGCACCAAAACAGTCCGAATTTCAGTTTGACTGAAGCTGAGAGCAAAAACGACAACAAAAAGTGTTTACCTGTTTTTATGCCACAGTGACGTGGGTGTGTGTTTGTGTGTACCAGTGCAGATGGGTTTCACTGCAGACGAGGGCTGCGTGCGTGAATGTTGTCAGGTGGTGGCATCTCCGTTTTTTAATGGTGTGACGTAGTGAGACAGGCCTTCCTGTTTGACTGTGAGTCATCTTTGATCTGTTCAAAATATCTGTGAAACACAAAAAGAGCGAGCCAAGCAGTTTCTCTGAACCTTAAAGCTAGTGGAGATGCACTTTTTAAATAGTCTGTGTGTGTTTGTGCGTGCTCGTGCCTTATTTGTTTTCCCCGCGTGGTCATGTGATTAGCCATCTAAGTGCCAGTGTGATCATTCTGCCATAGATTAAATAAGACGGGGTGCGTTCAACAAAGCTCTGGTGTTTGCTGGTGTTCAGAGCAGCCCGTGACGCGTGCGGCGTGGCCCCCACCCAAACGCTGACTTTGTTGAGAGCAGCTCAGCTGTAATGGGCGACGGCAGACTTGAGGATTTGTCTTCGTTACAAAATCGAGCTCGAGTCTGAGCTTCGAGTGTAAACCCACTCGTCTGATCTTCTTCTCACAAAACTCGGTTTAGTTTCGTTTTCAGGTTTTAAGACGGCGTAGCTGAAAGTCAGCAGGTGAGCGAGACGGGTAAAAACGCTTCCTTTTCTAACCCCACTGTAAAGCTGTCAGCTGTGTCCCGTGTTCCTTTCCCGAAACGCTGATTCTTCTCAACTCTGCTGATCCGTTACAGCCTCTCTAATCTATGGGTCTTTGTACTGTAACTGTTGTCATGGTGACAGTGAACTTCTCTAACGGAGGAATTCATTGGTTCCCAGGCTGATTTATTTTTACTTAGTGACCTTATTTTCTTAACTCCTTTTTTTCATCCTCTTTTGATATGTTGTGGATCTCAGTCTTATACATGTGTGATATAAATGGTGATATCCTGTAATGTTAATGTGTGCAAACAATAAAGAAATGATGAATGAAAGCTGGGGCTCTGCTCTTTGATCACTTTCATACTCAGCCAAGCTCAGTATAATACCTGAACTACAGTCTGCATTAGTATTTATTCATACAGATGATACATATTAATGTATCATAAATGCATTAATGAGACTGCCTGTTTGAGGCAGCGCTCCATATCGATGTGCCTTCAGCTGTAAGCGGCAGGTTTCCCCGGTCTTATAAACAGCACATTTGCATAAGGCTGGAAAGCTGAGGACGTCACCTGGATGAGTGACGAGAACGTTTCTCCCACTGAAAACGTCCAGATGAACAGAAACCTGCAACCTTTGCAGATTTACTATAAATGCACATTTAGACACTTTGTTATGCACTAAGATTTGCACGTGTTCATTTTAAAGGCTTCGGTTCATTGGTTCCTGTATCTTACCCTAATTAAAAATCTAATCTAATTCGACTAAATCCACTGAGCTAGAGCAATGAAAAAAAAGCCGTTTTGGAACATAGAAGACATTTACACTTGGGCCAACACAAGAAAGAAAACCTGCTCGGCCTCTGTGCTGTCAGACTGATCGGGTTAAAGCTGTTGATATTATTCTAACTACATGCAACATTAATATTAATGTCATTGCAACAGTCAGGTCATCAGAGCTCAAATACAGGCATGCAGCCTGGTGCCAGATGTTTTTTACAGACGTCATTTAGTGTACGGATTTAGATTTTGGTACATGGTCATTTGGAGCTTTTTACGTCCAATCAAATGTCCCCATCTGGTGATTTGAGCTCTCTGCTGAAGACTGAATTTAAAGACACTTCTGACTCACTAAAGCCAACCAGTCCATGTGTCACGGACACGCAGGACACTCCCACAGAAACTGTGAGCGTTCCTCAGCAGAGTTCCTGACCTGCTGCCCCCTGCTGTGACCCTGTGAGTCATGCTTGGTTTATTCCAGCTGCTTTACTCACTAACATGACTCGTTTACTGGATTTCTCAATGGCACCACACTCAAACTGCTTCTGTTTTAATAGCAAATTTTAAAGATGATTTCATGCCACTGATTATACTTTTCAACATTTTGGGTAATGTGGGACAATTATGAACAAATGATAAATTACATACATATACAGATGTACACATACGAGTCCTGCTAACAGATGCTGGAGCGTCTGAAGCTGGGAATCACTCAGGGTGTGAAGATCGATACTTCACCTCACAAGACGATTTGTGGAAACCATCTTTGTTTGGCTGTATTTTCCTAACTATACTCAAAGAAAACTCAGAGTACCAGTAACCAGTGATGGCGTAAGAGGGACTGGTGTGTCTGATTTACTGTGTTGCATGTTAGATAAATAAGGACATTGTGTCCTACGCAGCTGTGTTATTTCTGCTGCTGAACAGCTTCAGTAATGGACACAACAGTGGATGTTCATGTGCAAACACCAGACAATTAAATGTAAGTGTAGAAGGCTGAGACATAGACGTATACTAACTAGGCTGCTTTAGGAACACATGTTAGGCAGGAATGACATCTGAGGACAGCTACAGTCCAGCAGGGATGAAAGGATAACAACAGTCAAATTACAGGTGAGCAGAAACGAACCTGTAGATTGACATTCTGTGTTCTGGGAAATAACAATTCAAGAATTAATAATAATAAATACATAAATAATAAAGATAAATCAACACGGTGTGTTTTCACATGTTGCAAATTACAAACCATTTTAATGTAGAAGCCACTGTTTGGGTCGCTGTGCTGTACAAGCAAGGAAACACACAGACGTAACATGTGCTGCTTGCTACAGCGTCAGCTTGAACATTATTTATTTCCAGGGCAGCTGGCAGTGAAATCGTAGGTGACAGAAGAAGATGACAGAATTGAGAAGAATTCAGACAGTCCTGCTGGACTGTTCACCACATCTGGCTGCTGGTGAAGTAAAGTACAGTTTACATGGTGAATGGACTGATTCTTATACAGCGCTTTTCTACTCTGGGAAATTTTGCTTGGAGTGAAATTGTGTGTTTGCGTTGTTTCTTTGCAGAGTGGTAGCTCATTAACATGATGTTGCAAGCTTCTGTAGTCGGCTTTCATTAAAATGGAATATCCAGTGTTTGTGTAACGTCTCAGCAGACTATAAATTCCTGAGTGAAGCGCTCAGTCTAGTGAAGCTGTACCTTTGCTAAAGGAAACATCATCAGGTAATTCTTCACTTTCTAAATCGAAATGTCCTTTTTAACTGTTCTTTGGTGCAAGCGTGTGATCACAGAGACATGTGGGCTGTTCGTGGTGAGGGTTTGGCAGCATCAGCAGCAGGAGGACTGGGAAAGGACTGGGAGAGGACGACACAGACAGAGACGCCTGGACATGGGAACAAAAATAAGACACAATAAGAAATGAAGGATTTCTGTGTTTGAAGAAAGGGGAAAAGCTGATGTTTTCTCAGAGCCTTGTTTTTGATTCACACTCAGCAGCATTTGGTCATATGAGTGAGTATATTGTAATCCAAGTAATCTTTGCAGAGACCAACTCTCCTGCAAGAGAAGAAAATGAAAGCCTTTGCACTTGCTGTCATCCTCCTCATGATCTTCATCAGCAGTGGTAAGTTAGATTTACAGATTGCTTTTGTTCTGTTCAGTTCAAAGTCGGAGCAGTTGTATATTTACTTTACTGTATAAAGCACATCGAGGCAACTGTTGCGCTATAAAAAAAGAAAATTGAACTTAACTAAAACTGCAAAATGTGACTGAAAACGAGCCAGTGCCACCAATCTTCTGTTAGGGGCAGTAACACTGAAGAGCTGGACTTCAACATGTTTCTCTTCTGTTTTTAATTCAGTAGATTTGCCATCAGTGTTCACTAATATTAAACATGAACAGTCATATTCACGTGTATATCTCTGTCTTTGTCTTCTGCCAGAGGCTCTGCGGTGTAACCGCTGCGTTCCAATAACAGCTGGTGGCAGCTGCACCAACACAGTGGAGACCTGCCAGAGACCTGATGAGGTCTGTGCCTATGTCATCAGCACATTTCCCAGTAAGTATGGTTACACACACACACACACACACACACACACACACACACACACACACACACACACACACACACACACCCCACTTATTGTTATTTCATGTTATTTTTGATGATGGTGTTTCTTTGAATTCAAATCTGTACAGTCTGAGTTTTCACTTTGCTCTTTTGCAGGATACTCGTACTTCAAAAGATGCATGAGGAGAGCTGATGCCTTTGCTTTGAAGTCCATTTCCAGCTATAACGTCTTCACATGTACTGATGATCGGTGCAACTGATGAGGGAAACTTCTGCATGAAGATGTCGCAATGATATCAGAAGACATGGAGTCACTTTTAACCACTGTTTTATTTTCTTTTGACTGTCTGGCCTTTCATTTCAATAAAAAGGATTGAAAGGATAACAAAAGGATAATTGTGTGTGTAAGGACTGTTTTTTATTTTTGTCTGTCCTGTTTGGTTCTTTCGCCGTCAGAATTATTATCTGAAGGCCAAAAAAGATGCTCAACAGATTCACTTTACCAACTGGATCATCCCAGCCTTGCCATTCGGTCCATTTGACTTTGTTATTTTATTTTATTTTCACTTGTTACAGACGGGACAGACATGGCTGGGGATAGGAAAGGGAAAAAGAAAGAGAGGGAGGGAAAGAAAAACAGGGGAAAAGGGACAGTGAGGAAGGGCAGAAAAAAAAATCACCTGGATCACCTGCTGAGAGAGAACAAAAACCCCAAACAAACAAAAGGAGAGCAACACAATAAACACGACACCACAGCAATAACCTGGGTAACTGTAACTGTAACTAACAGTAAATGCTAAATATTGAAAGTTATTGTGCAGCACGCAGGACCAACAGCGCACAATGTTGTTGGAGGTAGCAGCCGAGAAAGCTGTAGTTTGTGTCTGTGAGCACCTGTGTGGATCTTGTATTTAAAACGTTTCTCCATGTAACGATCTGCTAGATCAGGGGTCAGCGACCTTTAAGACCCAGAGAGCCATTTGGACCCAGTTTCCACGTAAAGAAAACTCTGGGATCCAGCAAACAAAAACTGCTGTGAGCCGCCCCCTCATATCTCCTTTGGGCTTTTGGAGCCTTGACCTGACTTTTAAAAAATAATTGGAAAAAAAGCTCGATGCTGCTGAAAGATGACAAATAGATATTTGCAAAATTCTGCCTAAATATGTATTTTACCTGGTTAATGTGTGTGGCGGGGCGTGGTCTCACGCCTCGCCGCCTTAACGTCTGTGCTGTTGTGTTGGTGTGAGTCGGGCTGTGAGCTGCAAAGCTACAGCCGGCTGTGTGCGTACAGCAGCCGTGTGTGAAAAGCGGTCAATAAAGAGAAGCTGAAAAGCGTGTTCATGCAAACATCGTGGGGTCTGCCGTGACATGTTTACAACGGGACTTCTGCTCCTGAACCTCCGCGCACAGCGTCTGCAGGTCGGGGCTGTACGAAGTCACTTCCATCTCTACAGGACTGTAAGCTGTCGTCTGTGAGGCGCGAGCGTGTTTGGTTTAACATAGTTCACGGTGGAGCTGCTGACATAATTGTCGTGTTTTTAATAAAACATCAGTAGTAGTGAGCAAGCTTCTTTATTTTAACGTGGCTCACATCCATGCATGCAAACATAACCTGCCGCTGCTTCTACGACACAGTATATATCACAGTTTGGTTTAGACTGCCCCCTAGTGGTGAAGCTGAACTAACCCACATAACTCCTATCAACACATCCCCTTTTCTTTAGATGTTAACTGCTGAACAACACTGCGCCGATCCCGGCCTTCGATGCATCTGTTGACACTTTTGTTTTTCTTTTTGGATCAAAATATGCCAAAACTGGCTCTGTTGTAAGTGTCTTTTTCAGTTGTTGCCACTCGTTTTCCAGTTCTTTATTCCATCTGAACTCGCAGCTATCCGGTTGTTCAGTGATGACGCGACGAATCCTACTTCCGGGTCTAAAGTAGTCTGTGTTTAATATGGCTTTTGTGTTGTTAACATGTTTAATGTTTTGTATTTTCTTCTATTTGATCTCAAAAAGCTCCTAAAACAGTCAGTGATCACTGTTGACCTCCCTCGGCTTTTATTACCGCTAATCATTTATTTAAGCTCAGTTTTTAAAACCTTAGGATGTAACTACAGCCCAGCCCATGCAGCAGTATATGAATGACTAACCTCGTATTGTGGATGGATTATCTCAGTTGTTCTCCTGGCTGAAGTTTGGTCCTTTTACAGCATCCTGCCATGCGATTACATTTGTTCCTGACCACCGAGAACACTCACGTTAACTTTTATCCAGTGGAAAAAAAGTTAGCTTGTTTATATTATGCTAACATAGCTGTGTCGCTAGCGGTCACGTAGCACATCATTATATACCAGCTAGCCCAACTTCAGTAACCCTACAAACGTCACTGCTGTTTAGTTTTCTGTCTTCATTTATGCTGGAAGTGATAACAGAGCTGTACGTTTGAATTTGTTTCCAAAACCCCGCAGTCAGGACATGCTATATTGTATTTAGATAGAAGCTAGCGAGCTAACTCCCTGCTAACTTCTAACTCCGTTAAATGTCATAAATTCCGTTTTCATGGATGCCTGGATGTTAAACTCAATTGTTACACCTGGTAGAGCAGAACGCTGATCATTTTATTAAAGATGAAAGACTTTAGACAGTTTTTCAACTCTCAGTAATGCCATAGTGATCGTTTGATATATGGACCTGCAGCGGAGTTTAGACCCAGACACGGCTAGTGACGTCAGACTGAACAACCGGATTGTGTAGAAGCTGTCTCAGTTGCACTGTTTTGGCCGCCAGGCTTGGGATGAATTTTCCAATAAAGTTAACCATTCCTAGGATTCTCAACACACCTTTTTTATATTCAGGACGTGGCATTTCCAGTATAGCTCGTAGCTTTTCCTTGTCCGGCTCGATGCCTTCGGCTGTCAGCTTGTCACCGAGAAAGGTAATGTCACCCACGCCAAACTGACATTTTGCTCTGTTCAGTTTAAGTCCATAACGTTTCACTCTTTCCAAAACCTTTACTAGTCTCTCATTGTGCTGCTGTAGTGTGGATCCCCACAAAATGATGTCGTCCATATAAACTCTGACTCCCTCGATTCCTTCGATCATATGCTCCATGGTCCTGTGGAATATCTCAGGAGCTGAAGAAATTCCAAAAGGCATTCTCAAGAAGCAGTAACGCCCAAATGGCGTGTTGAACGTGCAGTATTTTGTACTGTCCTCATGAAGCTTGAGTTGCCAAAATCCTTGGGACGCATCTAGTTTGCTAAAAAATTTTGCACCAGCCATTTCACTTGTTATTTCTTCTCTTGTAGGTATCTGGTAATGCTCTCTTTGTATGTTAGCATTTAAGTCTTTCGGATCCATGCAGACTCTAAGAGCGCCGGTTGGTTTTTTAATGC